CTGCACCTGGTGCCCCTCCTCTCAGCCCCTCACCCCGCCCCACACTGCACAGCTGCCTCCTCCTGAATCCCCTCCCCTGTGCACAGCTGGCTGCTGTCCCGGGCATCTGGGTTAGCAGTGGGGGCCTCATCAGCCACTCCCCAGTCCTAGGGAACCCTCTGTCCACCTCCCTTCCTGTCTCCTCATCCTCTCCCACCTTGCCATCTCCAGCAGTCTTCCAAATGACCGTCAGATTTGTCAGCAGGATAAAGTCAGGCCTTATCCCTCCTCGTCCAGCCCCATGACCCCTTCTTCCCACTGTGTCTCCCATTCAGGGCCCAGCAGCCCGGGGCAGCATGTCTGTGTTAGACACATTCTTGCTTGCCTGAATCCCGACCACCCCGGCTGCTGCCAGCTGACCAGCTGTCCTGAGCAGATGTTTGCTCTGCCCCCAGGAACGGCCCTGAGCCGCCACAGCAGAGCCTCCACCCCACCTACTGCCAGCTTCCACGGCTGCTGCACTCGCTGGAAGTTGGCCTGGGGTGGGGTGGAAACCCCCATTGCCCCCACAGCGTGCTGCCCTGGTGCAGTGACTGTGGGCTGGGGTGCAGGGTCCTGCAGTGCTGTATAATAACAAATTTGGCTGGCCTTTGTCCCCAGTTCCTGGGAAGTAGCCTCTAAATCTTTGGAATTTCCTGAGGGATAGGAGTAGCTCTGTTATTTGTGGGGGGCCTCTAGATAGCTTATGCTAATGAAGTGATTTGAGATTGGGGCCATGTGGGTAGGGGGCTGGGGCTTTGAGACTCCTGGGCGTGGAGGGGGCCTGAGACTGAGCTGAGTCCATGGTGATTCCACTGGTCATGCCTATGTCATGAGACCCCAGTGAAAATGCACGATAGGGGCTCAGGTGTGCCCCAGCTGGGGACGATTTATCCATGTGATGGGAGACGCCGTGGAAGCTCCATGTCGGGATCCTCCCAGACCTCACCCCGTGTGTCTCTTCATGTGGCTGGTTCTGAGTGTATCTTTTATAATAAAACTATAATTTTGTGTATGGTGCTTTCCTGAGTTCCGTGAGCCATTCTAACAAACGATCAAACCTGAGGGGGTAGTGGGAACCCCTGAATTTGTAGCCAGCTGGTCAGAAGTGGGGTTGGCCTGGGAACCTCCAAACTTGTCACTTGTGTCTGAAGTAATGGCAGTCTTGTGGAGGACTGTCCCCTTAACCTGTAAAATGTGGCTCAACCCCAGGAAAAAGCCATTGCAGATGTCGATATGGCTGCCAGGGGCTCCTGCTGGATCTCAGAGAGGGGCTGTGGGGCTGGGCTGAGACCCGCTACCCCTGATCACTGTCCTTCCCCTGGACCCCGGGGCCTGGCGAGAACTATGCCTCCTTCTCTCTGCAGAGCTGCGTGCACAGTGGGCCCTCTTAGAGATTGCTCACTGAGCTGGTCTTCATCGGTGGAGTTATTCAGCACATTCCCCAGGATCTGATTCTGGAGGTGATAACGCTGCTCAGTTTTTGGACCTTTCATTGCTGATGTTAACTTGCTCTTTCAACCCTGGAGGCACTTAGTTCTCTGCTTCTTCAGTAGCCGCGAAGTGGTTCTTTTTCCTTTTGTCGTGCAGGAGGAGAGTACAGCCCGGGGTTGGCCCTGGAACCCTGGTCCCCAAGATGGCAGAAACCATTTCGGAAATGCTCCGTACCTTCAGGCACAGCGTCGAAGCATTTGTGCCCCAAAACTCCCACTCGGCAAGGGAAGCAAATAAAAGCACAGTTTAAGTGCAACCCTTTCCAGCAGGAGCTTTCCAAACAGACAGAGAGCCTCAGGAACCCGTGGAACGAAAAGCGTGCTGAATTTGGAAACCGCGAAATGACTCTAGAGTTCTAAACATCAGCGTGGCTCCTGGGCTCCTGGGAAGAGTCAGATATGTGTCCTAAATGATAAACAGCTCTCCTGAAGGGGGAGCCGGGGCGGGACACCAAAGGGCTCACACATGTGTGCGTGTGAGCATGTGCTCATGTGAGTGTGCGTGTACGTGTGTGCATAGCATTTGCATATAACCTATGCACACCCTCCCATGTACTTTAAATCACCATGCATGTGTGCATGTATGTGTGTGCATAGCATTTGCGTACAACCTATGCACATCCTCCTATGTACTTTAAATCATCTCCAGATTACTTATAATGCCTAATATGACATCAGCTGTGTTATTTAAGGATAATGACAAGGGGGAAAAGCCTGTACATGTTAATCACCAATGCAATTTTTTTAATGTTTTCTATCTGCAGTTGGTTGAATCTATGGATGCAGAACCCAGGGATACGGAGGGCTAATTGTACTTTACAGTGAAAGTGAATTTAAAGTTCTATCCCCTTCTAGAAGGATACCCTTCTTTTCTTCGGGTTCCTGATAATCTTTTACAACCACTCTTTCAGTCAGCCCATCAATGATTCATGGACATAATTTGAGCCAGGGCTGAGGGCATGAGAGCCGGGGGCCCTCGCCTGGAGGGGCCCAGCAGCCTCTCTGGCTGAGCGGTATTGAAACTGAGACAGGACGGGTGGTGGAGTTGGGCAAGGGGGTGGGAGGACGGGGAGGGGCCTGGGGGGCAGTATGTGTGGAGACTGGAGGCAGAGGGAGGTGGCACCGAGAGGGCTGGGAAATTCCAGGGGTGAGGAGGGGAGGAGGGCTCCAGTGTGCAAGAGGAGCGACTGGGACTTTCTCCTAAGGCTGCAGGAGCTGCTGGCTGTGGCATTTAGCTGGGACCCAGGACCCCGCGTCTGGGGGAGACTGGCAGGCTGACGCTCGTGTATGGTTCCTGGGAGTCTTGGCCCCCGCCTGTGTGTGGAGCCGCTGGACACCCAGTGGGCAGCTAGAGCCTTGTCCAGGTGTGGCTGCCCCCGCGGCTGCTGTAACAAAGCACCACAAACCAAGGGGCTTAAAACCACAGACGTTTACTCTCTCACGGTCTGGAGGCCAGAAGTCTGACATCAGGGTGTCGGTAGGGCAGGTCCTTCTGGAGGCTCCGAGAGAGGATCCGTCCCGTGCCTGTCCCCCAGCGACTGGCAGCTCCAGCAGTCCTAGGTGTTCCTCAGCTGTGGCTGCAGCGCGCCAGTCTCTGCCTCCGTCATCACATGGTCTCTTTTCTCATGTGTCTGGATCTTGAATCTCCTTCTCTTGTCTCATAAAGACAGTAGTTGTTGGATTTAGAACCCACTCTAAATCCAGGTGGTCTCATCTTGATCCCTGACTAGCCAGATCTATAACAACCCTATTTCTAAATAACGTCACATTGTGAGGTCCCAGATGGACCTCAGATCCCCTTTTTGGGGGGAGGGTGCACGATTCAACCCACCACACCAGGCAGAGGCAGGCCATGCCGCCCGCACAGCCCGGTTCTCAGAGGTCCCCACCTTAATCTTCACCCTGGAGGTCAGTGCTGCCCAGTTGGACTTTCTGAGGGATGGAAATGTTCCATATGTGCATTGCCCACTGCAGCTGCCTCTCGCCATGAGTGACTGCTGAACACCTGAAATGGCTAGTGCCACTGAGGAGCTGAGTTTCTAATCTTAGTTAAGTTTAGATGCCCCCTGTGGTGAGTGGCACCTGCCTGGAGGGCGCAGGGGTGGGCTTCTCCCCACTGTGTGAGGAAGGGGACAGGGAAGTACGTGCTGAGGGCTGGCGGAGGGCCAGGCCCTGCTCCAGGTTTCCCGGCCCCAGCCCCACCCTGGGCGCCCCACTCAGGGCCTCCTGGGAGACCGAGGAAGCCGGGGCTATGCTGTGCCTGGCACTGTGCCTTGGCCCCTGCCCTGACACCGGGTGGGTGCTGCGGGCCCAGGGCATGGGTGGGGGGTGGGCAGCAGCTTCCCCGCAGAGGTGGTGTTGGGGCCAAGCAAGGAGAGGGGGGTTGGCAGGAAGAGGTGTGGAGTCTGGAAGGAGGGAGAACGTTCCAGGCAGAGGAATAGCTTGGGGTGTGGGGATGAAAATGAAGGAAGACCACTGGGGCCAAGGGAAGACCATCGGGGGCCGGGTCCTGTGGGCCTTGTGGGCCATCGTGGAGGGGACCCCGGCATTCCCCACTCCTCCTGACCAGAGGCCCGGGTGGAGCTGGCCTCCCTCCCGTGCTGCCCATTACTGGTTTCTCTGCCTCGTTTTTTTTTGGCTGTTGGGTTTTTTTTTGTCAGGTGGCCGGGATGGGGATCTGAGCCCTTGACCTTGGTGTTAAAACACCTCCCGGGAAACCGGCTATCCCCTTGCACCTTGTTTTCACCTTGCTTTCCGTGTGACAACTGCACTCACCCGTGGCCTTGTGTGCTTGGTCGTGTGTGCTGGGAGGAGGCCAGCCCTTCTGTTCTCGGGTCGCTGACCCTGGATTCTAGGGACACGGGTGATCAGATCCAGTCCCAAGCCCTCAAGGAGTACTCCTCCCCCTGGCTGTCCCATGTGGGGTGGCACAAATGTATCAAGGGACCATCGCAGCACAGGGTGACCCGGGCTGAGAGAGATCGACTAAGCTTCAGGACTTTTGAGAGGGCCCCTGTACCCTGGACGTGATGTCATACCCAGGAGTGACTGTCCCCCAGGCCACCTGGCCTCCTCCAGGGCCCAGAGTCCAAGAGGGGCCCTCAGGTGTGGACTTTAATTTTGTGGGAAGGAGGCAGTGGGCAGAGTGGCCAGGCACGAGCTTTGAAGTCAGATATGCCTAGATTCAAACCCTAGGTGCCATCAGCCTGCTGTGTGACTTTGCACTGGTGACTTAACCCTGCCGGGCCTCCATCTTCAATTGGTAAAACAGAGAGGTTATTCTCAGTGTGTAGGCTGGTGGCGGAGGTCAGCGAGGATCATGCATATCGGTAGATGCTCACGCCACAGGCATCGCTTTTGCAGAACGCTGGCCTCCTATCCTCCGAGCTCAGGCCGGACCGAGGGTCGGGGAAGAGACTTTTTTGTTAAGTTCCTGAGGGTTCTGCAAGAGAAGGCGGCCCAGAGCCTCACCCATGTCTGCCCCTGCAGGGGACGACCACTCTGGAAGGCGCGTGATCACATTCAGCTGCTGCCGGCTGCCCCCCTCCCACGAGCTCGACCACCAGCGGCTGCTGGGGTAAGTTCCCCTCCTCTCCTCCGCGGGGCTCGTGTCCCTCTCTGGCCCTCTGCCTCTTCTCTTCTGGGGCCACCCCTTGTGCTCTTGCTCTCATGAGCCCACCCAGGACGATGGCTGTTGCTAGCACTATTGTCACGGGGGAGAGCTGGGTCTGTCGCCTTTCAAACACCCCCTCTGTGGGTGCCCACCCTCTGGAGTTGGGGACAGTCCCTGATCCTGGGCATGGAGCTGGCCCCTGAGACGAGATGGCCACACACCACCAGGCTTCACACCACACTGTTCCTCCGAGAGTCACAGGACCTCCCACCGGAACTCCTCCCGGAGCTGCGTGAGTCTCCTGTGGCTGCCACAACAACCTTGGCGGTGTAAAACACCAGAAATGCATTCTCTCGCAGTTCTGCAGGTCAGCAGCCCCAAATCAAGGTGTCAGCAGGCTGTGCTCCTTTTGGAGACTCCGGGGAGGGTCCTTCCAGCCTCTTCCAGCTCCTGGTGGCTGCGGGTGTTCCTTGGCTTGTGGCCGCATCACTCCGGTCTCTGCCTCTGTCTCTACACAGCCTTCTTCCTTGTGTGTCTGTGTATGTGTCCTCTCCTCTTCCAACGAGGACACCAGCCATTGGACTTAGGGCCACCCTAATCCCATATGACCTCATCTTACCTAATTACATCAGCAAAGACCCCATTTCCAAATAAGGTCTCGTTCTGAGGTTCTGGGAGGAATTTTGGGGAGACAAGACAGGAGCTAAGGGCGTGCTGCTGCTGCTGACATGGGCTCCTCAGGCATTTATTGGGTACCTACTGTGCGTGAGGCACAGGAGGGATAGTCACTGCATCAGGGTCCATCTGTGAACTGAGGGGACCACCCCTGTGGTTTGGAGTTGGGGAGCTCTGGCCAGGAATGACCTGAGACAGAAGGTGGGGGTGTGGCAGTGGCCATATGAGCAGGTGCCTAAAGCCTGTGCACCTTCTATGTGCACAGCATCCCCGAGACAGGCACAGGCTCCACAGCTGGTCCAGTGAGGGGCACTGTACAAAACCAAGGGGAGGAGGTTCTGTGGTCACCAGCTGGCTTAATGCCCCGACTTAAAAAAGCTGACCTCCTGGCCACCCCCACCCAGATCCGCTTCCCATCTGGGTGATGGAGACCCTGCCCTCCACCCCTGGCTCATCCCGCACATCTCACTTCCCACAGCTCATGGCCCTTAGGAAATGCCAGGCCCCTGCTTTCCAGCCTGCCCCCTCCTCCCATAACACCCTGGCCCAGGCCCCTTCAGTCCATCCCCCTCGG